ATATTTAATTCTGGACCAAAGTGATAGAGAAAATTGCCACACCTAGAGCTATGTTGCTAGAGTGGTTAAAAACATATGTGTCAGTTTGTGTCCATTTTTGCTGCATCGCTTTAACCAAAATATTGATTCCAGCATGGATTTATTATTGAATATCGACTATCTACCAGGAACAACTCGAAACTGGGGTCTCAGTCAGACCCATAGGAACAGCACTGGACTGTGTGGTATTACATTACATTGTCACATGATGCCCACTGACCCAACTCCAGTGGACTGTCTCAATTCATCTAACTGAAATTAAATGTTAAATGGACTGTACTTATTTAGTGCCTTCCCAGTTGTCCAAACACACTATATGACATGTTGACCCATTCATATAGTTATGACAAAGGCCATCACAAACAGTATGTAATTCATTCACATACCAGTGAACAGCATCCATTTGGGGTTCAGTATCTGACTTAAGGACACTAACAATCCAGTGGGAGATGCTTGGGGATTATCCTCCAACTTCGATTAGTGCGGACAACCCACTTATCTTCCTGAGCCACAGCCGCCTCAGCTGCTGCGGTGACAGTGTGTTGACATGTCAGTTTGTCACCATATAGTGTTGGAGGTCTCCTTCCTTTTAAAAAGCACAAATACAGGAGTTATCAAGGCATTAGAGCACTTTATCTTTAGGGAAATCCGACTTTGTAAGACGGGGGTTGTTTAATTCTACTAATAACGCTTGCACACATGCTCTATCTCAAAGTCAGTTTTTGTGTCTTTCATCATCTCATTCACTCATTTACTTCAAGACTTTTCTCTCTCACACACACACACACAAACAAACCCAACTCTCATGTAATAAAGCTTTAAAGCACACATGATTCTCTTCATCGCCAAGATCCTTGGGAAGGGTTTCTTTATCAGACACCATGGGTTGCAGTACATTGAGATGGAGGTCAAGGGTTTGTATGTGCCAGGGAGGAATTGAGGGGGGTAATTTAGGGGGCCTGAGAGGTGTGAGTGACACCCTTGCTTAGGCTCCCAGGGCCCAGCAGGATCAGTGCGTGTGGAGCCCGGCCAGCTCACCACACAATGAGAGGAAATGGGAATTTAATACAAACTTTCTCACAAAGTCTCAGAGACCTCCCGCCTCTGTTGCTGGTCTCACTTCCAGACACCCCCAGCTTCGCCATCACCACCTCCTCCACTACAACCACAACAAAAATGTCAGAAACAACTAAAACGTGCCCAGGAGTGTGATGCTATAAATTTACTGTTTGACACAATTTATGTGGCATTTCCTCACAACCTTCCAGCTTACCACAAAGCTTTTTCTCAATGGAGTTTGTGAAAAATGATGCCTAAGAGTAGCTATGTAAACTGTTACAGCACATACAGAATACAATATCACAGAGATGGATAGTCATGATGAGTTAAATTTTATAATGAGATTATGAAGGCGAATAGAAAATCTGACAATATAGTTCTATATAGCTCTTTAACCCTACTGCAGTGTGCAGGGTTGAACAAGATTGTTTGCAGGCTTGAAGACGATTGCTCAAGCACTATTGTTTTGCCTGGGGAGGCCCTATTGTGCTTTTTGAACTCAGCCAGGAGACACACTGAGTCCTATCTTGGTTTGGCAGTGGCATTAAGCTAGCGGCAGGTCACACTAACAACAAACAGAGTTCATAATTACTATATGGCAACAAAGACTGTTGGATACAATGGCTAATGTCTGAGGAACACAGAGTGTCCTCCACCCTGCATGTCCACCCCACTAGAGTTATTTCCTTCACATACACACAAACACACATACAAGCATGGTCATGGACACACAGTATTCCATCTACATACTTGCAGTTTCACTGCATGCTTACAGTCTGTTGCTTCCCTCTCACTCCAATGGACCATCACATGCACACACATATGTTCATACACATATACATACACACATACGCACAAAAGCAGCTACGCCTGGTTTCTGGCTTCTGACAGCCTTAATGCTGCCAGAGGCTGAAGCATCTGTGTTGACCCGTCTTTTCCTTTTTGGCTTCCTATAGAGGCTCCACCAAAGCTGTGTCTGCAGCATTCACCACTTTTCTGTCATTTTCTCTTTGCACTTCTTCCTTCACTCTCCCTCATTTGTTCTCTACAGCACAGAGTACAGAATTCTACAAAGAATTGCAGAAATGATCGGAAAAGCACCTTAATTATGTGCAAAACTAATTTGAGTGTACAGTTTTTTAAATATTGTTTTATTGCATACCTTTGGTTATGTGCTACAACCACATGTCTGCAGTTAGCGGTCTGTAGACAGGTCACTATCATTGTTCTAACTGTTAATTCCATTCCTGCCAGTGGGTGTTTTTGAAGTGTGTGCAGAGGAAATAAACGGGTATTTTAAAAGAAGTTGTTCTGGTTCTTGAGCTATACAGGTCACACTAACAGGTCAAAGGGACAGTACAGATGTGGGCGCCAAGACCCGTTGTTTGCCAAGAGTCAAAATGGAAACACTGTGATTTGAAGACAAAACAATTCCAATCCTTCCAAAGGCCTTGGATTTTCCTTTTTGGCTTCCTATAGAGGCTCCGCCAAGCTGTGTCTGCACCCATTCACTCCAAACACTTTTCTGTAATTTCTCTCTTTGCACTTTTCCTTCACTTTCCTCCTCATTTGTTTCCCTAAAGTCAAATCACAGAGTACAGAATTCTGCAAACAATTTTAAAAATGATCTAAAAAGCACCTTAATTATGTGTAAAACTAGTTTGACTGTACAGTTTTTTTTTGCATATTGTTTTATTGCATACCTTGCATGTATGTCTGTAGACACATCAGTATAATTGTTCTAACTGTTAATTCCATTCCTGTCAGTGGTGTTTTTGAAGTGTGTTGATTTGGCATTGTTTACTTTTTCAGATTGGACCTAAATGTGCCGACACTTTGCAAAGAATTATATTATACTAGTCTTTGTTTTTTACAATCCAGTATAATATTCCTTGCAGACTAAAGCAGGCCATGTGAGCTCCTGAAATCGAAAACAGGAAATCTTAAACAATAAGAACTTGAGTCAACTTCAAGTCGATTGTCTGTACCCATAACGAAATGTAAAGAAAACATCAAATCAGTCAGACAGTTTTTGTAGAGAAAATGAGAAAAGGTGTGTGTAGTTGTTCCAAAGGGAGACAGTGCAGCACTTTTAAAAGTTTGGGGCAGAAATGGCAGAATAGACACAACAAGCATATTGTTCATCATTTCCTGAGGCTGATTGATTATAACAGCAAAGGGAGGGGGAGGCTGACCATAAAAGCTGCGGGGATTGTGACCAACACATTGAAGTGAAAGAACAAAGCTGTTGCATTTGGCAAAACATGATACCAGCTGTTGCGGCATTTGGTGTTCTATAGTATCTCTACAAAGAAAATCAGGGCAGCAATAAAATGCAACACACAAACACATGGGACTGTTTGTGTGTTGCATTTTATTGCTGCCCTGATTTTCTTGCAGAGTATAGGTCATATAGAGTATTGCGGTAGAGCGCCCACTTTTCATCTGTGTTACTGTGCTATATATATTTTGATGAATGCAGTCTTGAATTCTCCAAATATCTATATTTTAAAGTCTGACATGACCTAGTGCTTCAAAATAACTGTGCAATAGTTACAACATGGAACCAAAATATTCTTGTCACTATTTCTGAAATACTTAAAAATAAAAAAATAAAAACTTTAGACAATATAGGTCTATAGTGCCCAAGAAGATTAAAAGTGATAACCACATTTCACTGCTAAAACAGTAGACATTCTTAAGATACTACAGAATCAGTTGTATGTAAAAACAGTCAAAGTGTTTGGCATTGTACTGGAACAAAAAGTGACAAAGTTTAAACTCATAAATGCATTAATCGGATCAGGGAGGTCTGGAGCGCCAGCAGTCCTCCGCTGTCTGGTGACGCTCTTCCTTCCTTTCCCACCCAGAGAAAGCTGAGCTTTACCGTAGATCCAACTCTGTGCTTTGTGTGACGGACCGTGCTACCATCTCTGAAAGCTACACAGAACCGTTATAGTCGCTACCGAAGAGATTTTACACCTGAAGCGCTGGGTGATTCGCCAAGTTATGCGTAAAAAAGCGCACCACTCGTCGTGACGCAGCGTCACCGTTTTGGATGTACAACTCTCTCGTAAATCCGAGTTATTAACGACACGTTTTTTTCAATGAGGATTATAAATATCATGAGGATTTTGTGGGTATTTCTATTATGCTTCCTTGGTTTATCAGGTAAGAGGGAACTTATAATTAAGGATGTTACCTCATGAACGGAGCAAACAATTTAAGTTGGCATTTATTATCAAGGAATGTAGTGTTCATTAAGAAAGACACATGTTCTCCTTAATTCTACACTGTTTGATTGTTATAATCCTTTTTAATAATGTATATTTAGTTAAAGTAATAAATACCCTCGGAGTGTAGAATGTAGATGTCTGAATCCTTTGGGGGAAAAGAGCTCATCCATGTTTCCTGCCATTGTTCTGTGGATCTGGGGCTTAAATATCAGCGAGAAGGAATGTTGAAAAAAAAAAAAAAACTATTGGGTTTGGCAATTTTGTTCAAATAACTACATTCCTGGAGGCTTCTTTTGTTTTTGAACCGAAATTGTGTGTGTGTGTGTGTGGGGGGGGTGATATTGCCTGTTTCTCAATCCGTGTCTCAGGTGTCAGTGTATAAGATGTTCTCAGTCAAAGAGTTACTTTTATAATGGTTACTCTGAGATTCAAGACTCTCCAATCTGTGGCAGAAACAGATTTGTGAGCTACAAACTATATTTCTGCTATGATTTTGTCCTGTACTTCCCGTGTCCAAGTCTACAGCACAAGTTTGTGAGTCAGGTGTATTCAAATATTCAGATATTTAAACATTTTTAACCTAGAACACATGCCAAACGGATGTTTTCCATTGTGAGCTAAGTTTATTGTTAGAAACATTTGGGATTTACGTATCAGAATACAAACATTTCTATTTAAACACAAATATGAAGAGTGAGAAGTACCACGTGGTAGAGATGCTGAGACAGAGTGACTGTGATTTTTTAACCAACTGAACAATACATATGTTATTGGTTTCACTGAGAATTCAAAAATCCAGGAGACCTGGAATGAAAATGTTTAAGACCATATATATATTTATATATATATTTTCTGTTTTTGTGTGAATCAAAGGATTTACCGCAGGTTTCATCATCATATTTTTATTTGTTCTACACTTTTCATTACCCTGGGGAATGGGTGATGCTAAATCTCCTGACACCAAATGTTTGTGAATACCTGAAGTAGTCTTATAATCAAGTCAAGCTCTTTATGACTCTAATAACATGCTTGTATGTCAGACTGGTCCAAACACAATGTCCTGTCCCACAGATGCTGTGATCGACTTGACCATGATCTCCACAGCAGAGGTCACCAACGTCAATCACTTTACTATCTCTTGTATCAACGGAGAGCGCAGCCCTGCCCAGGTTGAGCTGGACATCAAGAGAGACAACAAAATCCTCATATTCCCCAAGAAGCCACATTTTCAAGTGCATAAGCCCAGGAACAAGGAGGCAGAGGCCAGAGACTTCCGTGACCTGGATCATATTGGTATCTTCTACTGTGAATCCACTCAGGAAGTTCCCCCACTTGAGACGGTCACAATGATCAACAATGTTGGCAAAGGTGGGTTCAAACTTAATACAACCTATATAACCAGTTTTTTAGGGAGTTTTTACTTCCAGTTATGGCCCGATTATATGGTTTTTATTATGTATCCAGTTTGGATGGCTTTTGGAAAAAAAACTGCGTGTATCTGTGTTCCCTACAGCAGATTTTGTCCCAACTCACCTTACACTGACTGCTAACAAAGGAGAGACAGTTCACCTCAGTATGCAGCTTCTCAGCTCTCAAAAGAGAGATGTGACCTGGAAGTACAACGGTAAGCCAGTTTAAGATGGTAGCAGGACATGTTTAGCAGGACAGAGACAGTTGAATAACAATTATATACTTCTAGATCTAGAGCAAATCAGGATAGACTACTTTTTTACGCATTGGAAACTATGCAATAAATGTTTTTTTTGTCTTTTGTGTAGGAAACTATTATTATATGACTCACTGGAATGATGTGATCAATCGCACAGCTGTACTGACAGTGGAGAATGCAGTTTTTGCCAATCAAGGCATCTACAGCGCCAGCTACGTGGGGGACAGCCCTCTCAAGGGAGCCTGGATGAGGCTCATTGTCAGAGGTTTGTTGGATAATGACATTCACACACTCAGAAACACTCACACACACAACCATTTGGAAATGAGAACGGGCTGTGAAGTGTGTAGAAGAAGCTACAGTGGTCATGAAATGTGCAAGGTCTATCTACAGCCAGTGTTTGGTGTGTCCCTTCTGGGCTACTGTATAGAAACATGGCAGTTCAACATGGCGGACTCCATGGAAGGTGACCCGCAGCATCTATAGATAAAAACAGCTCGTTCTAAGTTCATGAAAACACAATAATTCCTATATTCAGGTGTTTATACACTAACAAACCTATGAATGTTATATTCCACTTCTGCCAATAGATCCTCCACAACAGCAAAGCCTGCTTTGTGCTTATTGAATTTGAGCGTGAACATGACCATGATGTATTTTAATGAGACAGCATGTGTTTGTTTCATTTCCTGTAGCTCAGTATTGTAAAGAGACATCAGCAGTAACAATCTCCACCCTCCACCTGCTCAGCTTTGAGATTACTCTGTCCCCCCCCCTCACACACTCACACGCCTTCCAGACTGTCTGCTTGATAAACTGTCCAAAGTACAACACTAATACACAAAAAACATAAATTTGAATAGTAGATGCAGTAAGACAATTATTTGGTGTTCAGTAAACTGAAAGCTCCCACTTTTACATGCAGTTTCAAACAAGCTGTACACATATCCAAAGAGAACATGTATGGATATTGTTTTTTTTCGCCCTATAGACTGTCCCAGAAAGAAGTGGGGTCCTTACTGTGACAAGGACTGTCCGGAGTGTCTAAATGGTGGAGTGTGCCATGATGCCGATGGAGACTGTATCTGCCCTCCAGGATTCATGGGAACACGCTGTGAGACAGGTTTGTACAAATTACTTCGCAAGTATACTACTACAAGTTGTGTGTGTGTGTGTGTGTGTGTGTAAATGTGAGAGAAAGAGAGACAGACAAATAATGAAATAGAAAGATAGAGAGCATGTGTATAAAGTCTGATTTCCATCATACTTCTTAAGGAGCAGTATCTGAATGAGATTAAATCTCACAGCAACATAGTTGTTAAGATATTTAGAAAAAAAAGTCAGCCTCATGATGGCCCTACAGGAAAGGTTAGGCCCAACAACATCAACTTTTGCCATAAAACTGTCACAACTTATTGTTGTACAAAACAATTTAAAACTACAAAGGATAGACATATTAACTTTTAGTAACATTTTCTTGGATTTGATTGGTGATGCAGTGGTTTTCCTCATTACCAATGGATACTGGGTAAAGTTTATCCAGTACTGCATTTGTGCTATATTGACCCAAAATGGGCCAGTCAGGTGTGTGCATGTTAGTAGACTAGTAGTAAGTAGTAAGTAGTAAGTAAAGTAAGTAAGGACATGTGAGGCATACTTCATGGTAGACATTAGATCAACATTACACCTTCTCTGCGTTTGGGTGATGTGCCTAAACTGTTATTATGTCAGACAAAAATGTACAGTTTTGTCTGACATACGGTCAGCAGTGAAGGTTTTAGTTCTCCTGAGCATCATATATAAGCAGCACTCACATTTCATATTATTGTATATTATTTTCTAGACTGTATGATAATGCAATCAAATGGCTGACTACTGTCAAGCTACGTTCAGGCATGATACAGCAAACGTCAAGGAATTTAAATAAACACATTTGTGAATTTGTCTTTCTCTGATGACTTGCAGCCTGCAGAGAAGGAATGTTTGGCCGAAACTGCCAGCAGTCATGTGGCTCTGAAATGAACTGCAAGGGGCTTCGCTTCTGCCTACCAGACCCATACGGCTGCTCCTGCGCCAGCGGCTGGTTTGGGAGGCGCTGTGAGGAGGGTTAGTACTATAGTAGTTCAATTTGTCAATTTTTTTTTTTTTTTACTGAAGTAAATACATGTAGGTTTAATAGCACGTTTTTACCCTTTTGTGTGTCACATCATGAACTAACTGTTTTCTGTTGTCAGCTTGCCATAATGACATGTATGGACCAGATTGCACACTGAGCTGTGAATGTCAGAATGGTGGAGTTTGCAACCGTTTCAGTGGATGCCAGTGTCCAACAGGGTGGAGAGGACAGAACTGTGAGAAGTCTGGTAGGTGTCCACACATCATATTTGCTCTGTTTCCTTCTTTATCTCTCCCTCCTATGAGATTGCATTTGTTCTTTCTCCTCATCACTGCACAGCTCATTTACATCCATCTATTTTTTCATCCAATAATTTTCTCTGTTATCCCTTTCTCTACTGCCACATCCTCTGTCACTACCCACATTGTCATTTCTTGATCTCTGTTCCATGCGGCTTTTCTTTTTCAGACCGGGCTCCCCAGATCTTGGATTTGGATTGTAATTTGGAATGGAATCTGAACTCCAGCCCCAAGATCTTTTGTTCAGCAACAGGCAACCCCCTGCCCAGCCATAACAGCATTGAGCTGCGAAAGTTGGACAGCACTGTGCTCAAGGTACAAAGACCAGTAGCTGCTTGCAACACTCCTCCAACGATAACTTACTGTCTGAATAAATATAAACAAAATACACAGATTGGATCAAACTTAAGGTAGTCAGGCAGAGATTAAATACAAAGCCACACAGAGAGAATGATGATCTAGTACTATACAAAGGCTGCCAAAGTGGGTGCACCCTGCAGTGCCCTGAGGACTGGCGCATTTATCATAATTGTCCATTTATTGTGCATTTTTAATAATGTTTTGACAATTTATAAAAGTCAGCAAAATGTTTTTAACTAAGTTTTAAAGTTACACTCAGGAGCTCAGCAACAAGCAATGGAAAGATTCAAGACGTTAAGCAAAAAGAAATGTCATCTCAGCCCTCAAAACAGTATGAATCTGAGCCAACCAACTAAATTAATATCAGATTGCTCACTACTTGACTAACAGCAAAACAGACTGGCTGCTTGGGGGGAGATGGACAGTAATCATTGTCCAGTAGCGCATTCATGATCTGGCTCTCTCATCCCTGGTATGAAAACAAGACAAGAAACTGCCTTTGAAGTTCTTCCAAAGCTAATCTACTCCTGATTCTAGCTTCATACGTACATAAATAAGAAAACATACTTCCCAAAATGTCCAACTACTGTGTAAAAGGTAACAATTGTTACATTAAATTAATAAAACGGTAAAAAATCAGTTCAAATTGTACTGTGCCTTTAAGATTGGGCTGATGATTACAAGGTTGAATTAAGCTTTGAGGAAGTCAACAACACAATGGCCTGACCAGATAAGGCTGTATCACTCTACAGTGCAGCAGTTACCACGTGTTGCCTATAAGTGACGTGTTCAGTTTTCTGTGTTATCCTTTCCGTGCTGTTTCCTTGATAATAAAAATAAATCTGATAAAGAATTGTACGGGCACTTCCCACAGGAACTAAGAAATGTTTCACAGTGAGAACTTTCTGAGCACCAGTCCAAGCAGCGAAAAAAATGGGCACAGAAAATGGAAATGTGGTTTTCATCATGCATTGCATTACTATTATGTATATTATGTATTTTACTGTCAGGCCTCTCGCACTGTCATGGACTCAAATAAGAGCACAGCCCTGTTTGAGATCCCTCATCTGAGTGCACAGCAAGGAGGGTTGTGGGAGTGCAGGGTGTCCACCAATGGAGGCCAGGACTCCCGCAAGTTCAACCTCACAATTAAAGGTCTGTGTGTATGGTTTCTTTTAAGTAAAGTTTGAAATAAGAGGAGAGGATGTTGTCACAGGACAGCAGCAAGGATCAAAATTTTAAAATCTTTTGCTATGTCTACTCAGAGCCGCCTGTGCCCACTACTGCTCCCAAACTGCTGGAGAAAAGGAGTAAACAGCTGCTGGTGATGCCGGTGAGCTCCCACAGAGGAGACGGCCCCATTGTCTCCACCAGGCTCCTCTACAAGCCTGTGGAGAACGGAGATTCTTGGTCCTCCATCATAGGTAAGCAGGCAGAGATATCATTCCAAGATGGCATTAAGGCAGCCTTTATCACAGAAAGCAACTTGACGCAGTCATCACCATTACTTCAACACATTATATTATGCATAATAAAACTAATATTAAAAGACTAGCACAGTGTAACTAAAATGATTTATTACTAACACCCCAATCATGTTTTCTCCATGGCACACTGCAGGTTGTATAAAGAAAAAGATCTTCTCATAGAGTATACATCACCTGTTACTGAGTTCAAGTGCCTGGCTCTTAATTCTCTCTGAAAACAACTCATTATATAACATGTAACAAAAATGTGTAACCTCTAAATATTTTAATTGTTTTAAATGTATATTCTATGTATCTATAATACCTTTAGAGATATATGTTTCAAGCTAAATGTTCCAACCAAATTTTCTACTGTAAAACCATGTATAATACCTTATGTATTCAGCATTTCTCACATCCATTTTCTTTTAGTTTATAGTGACAAAGAGCCCATCACACTGATGAACCTGGAGCCTTCAACGCGCTACCGCGTCCGTGTCCAGCTAAGTCGTCCTGGGGAAGGTGGAGAGGGGGCCGAGGGGCCAGAGGCTATCATGGAGACTGATTGTCCCGGTAAGACCCACAGATAACAAGGCTTATAGGGATCACACACTTACAGTACATGAGTATATTTAACTGGAAATCTTGCCTGGGAACAAATGTCTATAGTCTGAACCCCAGTAATTAAGCAGGCATAATTATCTTGTGTCTGGTTAGACTAAAATAAAATTCTCATTATTTTTGCTGTGCAGTGCTGTTCCCAGGCCTTAAGGAGCCAGTTGTCTTTTCCCGAGTGAGCATATCTGTCCTGATGACTCAAGTCTGGGGCAAATATAGAAAGATTCAGCTGGACTGAAATGATCTGAGGGCACTTTGCCAAGATAAAATAAAGACACGATGGGGTCAAAACGAAAATAACAAAAAATAAAAATGATTGTAATCAGTGTGCTCGGAATCACAAACTGAATCAATAATAGCGAGAAACCTGAATTCAAGAGGCAGACATGATTTTAGGATTTTGATGATCAGTGATGACTGTGGTGCAGAGGGAGAGAGCATATCTGAGTGTGTGAGTCCAGAAAAGATAATCAAAAAACTTATATGAGAAAAGGATTGTTTTGGAGTGTCATAGTTTGCATACTTATACTGACTTTGACTCTTTAGCAATATGTGGTTTGGTCCATGTGTAAAATGGAACAGATTGTATTTCTTACGGGAAAGTTGGTTTTTTGGTCTTGCACAAGCACAAACTATTTGTAATAGTTTATTTAGTGATTCTTTGGGAAGGACCACAGACCAGTTTATGGACTATGGAGTAAGAAATAATCATATTCAAAATAAATGACATATAATGCAAATAACAATAAAATAAATAATAAAAATATTGTATTTATGTTAGCCATTCATCCATTTTCTCTTGCCCCTAATAACAGTTTGTGGGTTCATAATAGAGCTAACAGTGCCTCAAATAACTAATCTTTATAGTACATTGTATTTGCAGTTAGTGTACACAAAGTCAAGATATTTAAAACAGTTTAAGACTGAAAGGAAATTATATACTGCTTGCACAGTGAAAAAGATTCAATTAAATTTCAATTAACCAGCAAATGTTTTTACAAAAATATTGTAGTTACTTCAAAATTTGGGAGATGTTCCTGAAGCTGTTTCATCATCATCATCATCATCATCATCATCATCATCATCATCATTATTTTTTCCACCTCCGTTTCCTCTGTGCAATGCATTGTGGGAGAACAGTAGTGCATAACTATGCACTTAGAACACCCTAAAAAATGAAGGGTTTTTAGTTTGCATACTGACTGTTTTGAGTATACTTTATCTTGTCACATTTTACAGTTAAGCAGACAACATACTCAGTCATCCACAGACATGCAAACACAGGTCTTTGGACTGAATAAAACCAGAGCACCCTTATGGATAAATTCCGAGAGGACCAGCCCCAAGAATTAAAGCGAGTAGCTTCTGGTTGTGAGCTAACAGTCCTACTACTGTCGGGCAGCCAATTGAAATATAAACTAAGGGAACCGTCCAGTTCACTTCAAAATACTTTATCCATCCCTCAGGGGGCAATTTGAGGGAATCGTTAATGACCTAATGACAGAAATTTAGGAGCTGTTAGTCCCCTCAGCTCATCCTGTGTTCTCTGTCGCTGCAGAGCCCACAGTTCAACCTGAGATTGACATCAGCTCGGTGGAAGGCCGCAATGCCACTGTACGCTGGCGACTGCCCCCCAACAATGGCATTAATGCCGGCACAGCCAGTGGCTTTTTAGTGCAGCTCTTCGGCCCACCGCCCTACAGTGAGAAACTACTGGAGGAGACCACCCTGCTCAATGTGCTTTCCACAAAATTCCACAAACTGGAGTACCAGCAAGACTACACCGTGGTGGTGAGCCTCATCAACTGTGGCAGCCAGGGGCCACCCTCCAAACCCTACCAGTTCAGCATCCACAGCCAGGGTAACTAGAAACTCTGCAGTTAATAAAAATGGAAAAAAACATAAGGGGCAACACAATACACAGTATGTTAAAGGCTCATATGTATTGAGTGTTGTTGTTAATGTTAATTATACAAGATAAATAAATGGGATGATGCTTCTTAGACTCACTTCGAACACTCAGGAAAAGAGTACGTTAGTGCTTGGTTACTTGGTGGCTCTCTCCCTGCCCACAAACTTTAAAAGAAAAAGTTTAGCAGCTGATTGGTGTCAAGGAATAATCGGGGTTTGCAATCGGCGGAGATCAACAAGTTAGATAAAGATCTATCGAACAGAATGGCAGTGAATGCTGTTGGTATTTTAGCTTTCCCAGAGCACCCAAGCATAAAAGCCTGTGACTGGAGTAGTAATTTCATTTGCAATACAGTTTTACAGAGTAACAGTTGATTGCCCTAGCTTTGATGATATCTCTGTGTCTCAGGTCCATCATCTCCACGCAACGTCCAGGCCCAGCCTCTGTCCATGTCAGCCATCCAGGTGAGGTGGCAGCACCCTGAAGATCCCAATGGGGGCATCATTAAGTACGTCATAGAGTACCAGCCAGTTGGCCAGGGGAACCCTCACTCTTGGGTGGACATAGATGATAGAAACAAGACCACCAAAGATGTGACAGCACTCAACGCCAGCACACTCTACCAGTTCAGAGTCAGGGCTGTCTCTAAAGTGCCAGGAGAGTGGAGCAAGTTTATTCAGGCGATGACACAAGGGGATGGTAAGTAGGAAAGTTAATATCTGCTCACCCACCAATGACATGTTGATATTGTTAAATAATACAAATTTACATGATGGATTTGGGACCTAGATATAGGATGTCAGACCATAAAGGTTTGAGAAAACCCTTAAGTCTGTCCTCTATGGGTTTCACAAGGGCAGGAATAATACAGCAAATCTGGCACATTTTAAATGACTAGAATGGATAATCTTTTCAAAGGGAATGATTAAATTGTTTTGTGTACTGGTATAAATTAAGGTTTCGTGGACATTCATTTATTTTTCCTTTAGGCTAAAAGTAGCTTTCTGTGGAAAATTTCTACTCCACTGTACTTGTTGCCAATATTGGGCTCTACTCCACTGTACTTGTTGCCAATATTGGGCTTTTCCCAGGTGACGTTGAACAAGACCACCCACACAGGGACAGGGATTATTAATAATACATAGCCTATTTATCTTCACTATCTGAAAATAATCTCCCTACTTGTTTTTTTCTCTCTATCTTCTGTCCTTCCCCTCCATCCTCCCTTTACAACTCTTCCCCTCTGCCAAAAAAAGGCCTTCAGAGTTTAACCCCGACCACCCAGGGTGTGGCTGGGAGGCCTGCTGGGGATGGTTACCAACTGTTGGTGGCAGTGGTGGGCTCGGTAACTGTCACCTGTGTGACTATCCTGCTGGCGCTGTTGGCTCTTTTCTTCATCCGCAAGACGCTGCTCAACCGTCGGCGCACGTTCACCTACCAGTCCGGTTCGGTAAGGATGCACCAGGATTTGTTCTTTTCATTAGACTTTTGGAAAGCTGAGGGATTTGGTTGACATCACAACTGATCTGACAAAGCTCAAGTGTGTTTTGAGAAAATCCTACTTTAGAGAACTTAAATATATTTGTATTTATTGCCAAGCTTAAGACTGTTTATACCTCCAGGGTGAGGAGACTATTCTGCAGTTTAACTCAGGAACACTGACCCTGACACGGAGGCCGAAACCAACGCCAGAGCCCCTCACCTATCCAATTCTTGAGTGGGAGGACATAAAGTTTGAAGATGTCATTGGAGAGGGCAACTTTGGCCAGGTATTAGGATATTTTCAATTTCTCTCCTTTGGTTGCCATTCTGTATTCACTGGGTTAAACATGTCAGCTAACAACTGTTTCAAAACCAGGTCATCAAAGCCATGATCAAGAAGGATGGCAATAAAATGAGCGCAGCCATCAAGATGCTGAAAGGTAACTTTTGCACACACTTTCATGCAAGCACAGACGCTGTACATGTATTGCACACAAACAGAGAGCAAATGTAATCCCAGTGCAGTGCATTCCTAGACTGAAAATTTCATTTCAAAGACGCCAGCTGAAGCTGCTTTGCTTGCACTTTGTTTAATGATGCTGTGTGTGCTGATCTTCCTGCAGAGTTTGCCTCAGAGAATGACCACCGAGACTTTGCAGGCGAGCTGGAGGTGTTGTGTAAACTAGGCCAGCATCCCAACATCATCAACCTGATAGGAGCCTGTGAGAACAGAGGTGAGTGAGCGACATCTAGTGGCGTTTATGGACATGGATGTGCTTTGGAGTTAATGCCTCTGAAGACATACTGATGGTTACAATGTAATACTGATTTTGGCAGGCACATGGTTTCACAAGTTGTACAAATATATAAGCTGTTTTATGCAAAACTAAGAAGGCTGTATGTATGTTACCTTACTTTACCTATCTGGTATCCTGGCAGAATAAATAAATAACAAGAATAAGAATAAGAATCAAACTGCCAACCTTCTGATTAGTGGACAACCCGCTCTACCTCCTTACCTACAGCCCCACTAAACAGTATATAGTATCTAATTTATGTAATAAATCAATTGGTATTACTTTATTTACTATATATAGCATACGAAAATAGAAAATACAGATGTTTTACAAAATAATCCAAATTCAACAGAAGGTCCACTTACTAGCTTTCTCTGTATCAGTCTTTATCAACGGAGTTGTCATTGAGATCTATCGGTTAATATGTGTGCTCCAAATGTATTTCCTAGTACATTTTTGTTCAATACGTTAGTGGTGACTTTGTCATGCACTGACATTATGTGGTTATACTAGATCCTACTTCTATCTATCTTTATTTAACTTCACCTATATTCAGTACTGTAAAGGAACAGGTTAAATTCTTCCTGCTTGAGCTCCAAACAGATACTCCCCATCTGATCCTCTGTCATCTGCACCTGGAAAGCACCAGGATGTGTCCAATCTAAATAATCCTTGCCTGCCATCGCATTTGTTTAACTTGTCCATGTGCCTCACAAGCTGCCGTGTCATGTATTTGTATAAGGTTTCCTTGGCCCTGGTTCTTACCACGGAGTATCACTTTCCCACAGCTACATCCGACGGCTTCTACATTGAATAATTGAATTGCTTTTGTTTAATCAAAGATTGATAACTCACAAGAGAGGAAGTCTAGTATGGAAAGCACATCAGTGAGTACATTACCAAACCAAATCAGCCTGGAAAAATAAACATCTGACTAATTCAGTGGTTTCACTTTCAGGTAGCACTTGACTCTGCAGGCCGTCACAGCGCTGTGTTTACATCTGTTGTTCAACTCAGGTTCTCTTTTATTTAGTGATAGGAGTACATAAGTTCATATATACTGCACCACCAGAACATCTACTAGAACAACAAAACCCCAGTCTTATGAATATCAGTATAAGTCCTCAACCTTCCATTATGTCTCTGATTTTTTTGTCCTTCTCATTTGCATTAAATTGCAATAATCAATATGTTCATATCAACTGTAGAAACAGTTGCAATTTGTAAATTGTAATCACTTTATACAGACACATGCTTATTACATTTATAATATTAAATGACTGACTTGGCGCACAAACTGTCTGTAAAACAGATGAAGGAAGGATGAAAGGAAAAAGGATAGAAGAAAGAAAGGAATGATTGTTGTAGGGAAGAGGGGAAGGAGGGAAGCAGGATATAATGTAAAGAAAGAAAGTAATAAAGACATATTTCTTTGACAAACAGTTTGTATGTGTTGCTTTGCTCAGAGGCAGCACAGAGAGTCTTTTACTGCAACAGAGAAAGTCACTGGCTTACACTGGTAACACGAGCTGTTACTCAATTTCTTTTTCAGCGTTTTGGGACTTTTCTGCTTCATCTTTTTCTGGTTTCAGGCTTTAGTTCATTTGATCCATTCAGCATCTGTCTATAATTTTAAAAAGGGGGGACATATATGGAGTTGTTATCCGCTCATACACCTTCTCATCTTACAGTGATCTGGAATAAATTCAACTATTCAGATATGAACATTGTGAAAGAATTAGGTGTGTGCGGGAGGAATTCATTGAAATGCTGAACGGCTGGACAGGAGGAGGAAATGAGCATAGAAGATATCTGATAGATACTTAAATTCCAAGGGCAAGATAAAGATTGAAAAACAAAATAGTATGTATCCTCTAGATCAGCTTTTTTGCTGATCTCTCTAGTGACTGTATGCCTTATAAATACTGCCAATGCTATATGCTAATACACTACCAAAAATACACATTTACATGTCCATATACAGTATTTCACTGTGCTAATATTCTTGGTTTGAGGGGGAGATATTTTACTGTTTCAGTATGAGCAAAGAAATTGATTTGCAAAGACATTGCTGCAGGAAACACAACATGTCCTGATTAGCATAACCTCTTGTAGCTGAGAAGGAACATAATTGTATTAGGTCCCAGTTCTTTGACTTGCCTGTCCATTGCCCTGTTATTCTTTCCTTCCACATATGGTATTAACAAATTGTGTTGGCACTCTGTCTGGTCCTGGTGAAATCAACATGAAACCTTTCCAACAAGCACAAATACCTCATGACCTGTAGAAACTCTGGCTTTGGCTGGAAGCCGTCATCTATTAACAAAGCCTCAGCCATCTGGTTGAGCTCTGTGAGGATTTCATGAAATGCCTGGTTTACCTCTGTCTATGTCAAGACAGAGCTGTTGAAGGCCAAGCCCCTTACCAGCTGTAGCTGCGTCTCTCCCTGGCCTATTGCAAGCAGGCCAGCCAAGGCCATAGTCACAGTTTTTAGGGAGAAGAAGAGGACATTCTCATTGTTAAGTTTCCAGATTATGGCTGAGCTGCAAAACATTTGTGCAGATTGAAGATAAAATGTTTGTTAGTAGTGGCCCTTCATAAAAAAGGGTAAAATAACAGGGTACAATGCAGACTCTGTCCTCCTCCTAATGTTACTCCCTCTGTCTTCTCCAGGTTACCTGTACATAGCCATCGAATACGCTCCCTATGGTAACCTTCTCGACTTTCTGAGGAAGAGTCGGGTGTTGGAGACCGATCCTGCCTTTGCCAAGGAGCATGGCACTGCTTCCACCCTAACCTCCCAGCAGCTGCTGCAGTTCGCTGTAGACGTGGCAACAGGGATGCACTACTTAAGTGACAAACAGGTAGGAGGAGAAACAGCATGTAGGTGGGAGGCTGGTTGTATATTTCTGTGTGTGGATGAGTGCAGTCTCTCATAACAGGATTTTTATCAAGTTACCCATAATAGTTTATGTTCATAATGTAATAAAATTACATCTTTACGTCAATTCAGTAACTTCTAATGAGGAAGAAGTGTAATAATGTTATAAAACCAGTTAAACATTTCTTACTGATTGCAATATAGTAAGTAAGTATTATATGAACTGCCCTTACTATGTCATAAGTAATGCAACTAATACAGTATTTTGTAGATGATATAGTAAAGCTGACAGTGTAGTAATTCAAAAGAAGCTGCAATAATTGAGCTATTCCATTATTACTCCCCATTTTAGGTAATAGCTGCTTAAGTATAATGATGTGATTGTGATAAATTGCTCAAGCATATAATTATATCAGAAGCTTGTTTATATATTTGGTCCATTTAGAAGGGCATTATAATGCTGTTACATTATCCTCCCTGAGATATGACATTATCACTTAATACACTGAACTGAAGCTGATGTACAGAAACATCATGATTGTTTAACGCCTCTCCTCTCCTCCACTCTCTTGGAACTAGTTCATCCACAGGGATTTGGCAGCCAGGAATGTCCTTGTAGGGGACAATCTTGTGGCGAAGATAGCAGACTTTGGCCTTTCCCGTGGTGAGGAAGTTTACGTTAAGAAGACAATGGTGAGTGAATGGTGACTTTTTCCAGAAATTTCTTGTTTTTGTTTTTTAGTCTTAGCCAACAGTGGGTACTTGTTGTTTGGGAGACAAGTATTTTTGTATTCCAAGTATTTCCACTTTAATAAGAGTGAATAAATGCTACTAATATCAGTTGTTGTAAAGCACTCATTTCTCACAAGTTGAAGACAATAACTAAAAGAAACAGCACAACAAACTGTAACAGAAATCTTACCAGTAGATCTTTGCATATGATGGTTATTTGTGACACCAGTGTAATAATCTTTAGTCTGTTAATTAATAAATATTATTATTATATATTATTATAATTATACCTCAGAAAGAAACTGAGAGATTCTGATAGTAGGTGAGATGGCCTATAGAGTCATGTACAGCAATGTGCTGCAGTACAACTATAAATTATCTATTTAATATTTTAATTTTCACAATCAGACTCTTCACATGTGTGACCATGCTGTCAACATAGCAGCTGGTTTTACATGAAACTGCTGCTTGCCTTTCAGGGGAGGCTGCCTGTACGCTGGATGGCCATTGAGTCTCTGAACTACAGCGTGTATACGACCAAGAGTGATGTGTAAGTCACAATGTTTGTCCCACAGGTGCTTCCACATCTGGAGGGTTATGTTCATTTGAAACTGCTGTACCAAAATGCAAAAATATTTCAGATAACTTTAGGGGCATAATAAGTAAGATGGCATGCTTCTCATTGTTGCAAACATGAAAACCTTGGTTAAAGTGGTTCAGATACACTTCCTGAAGTATAATCTCTAATCAACATCTTTTCACAATTATGATGCTTCCTTCTCATTTTTTCTTCAACAGAAACCTTATTAAAATTATTACAGCCTCTAGTGTAGTTCAAAATATGTGCACCACAGAACGCCTGCCCACAGAAAACAACAAATCATCCCTCTGTCACTGATGGAGTGATAATAGTGTGCCGTGTAACTGATAAGCACAGCCAGGAAGCCTTGGGTACAACTTAGCAGACAGACAAAGACGTTGGTCTGTCAAATGGAGTCTATTTATACACAGCGGATAACAAGTTAGAAGAGTGCAGGACAGCTAGCGGAAGAAGTTTTAAGGGTGCCTTTAGAGTCAGAGAGAGCTGTAAACATTAGTGAGAGGGAAGGACAGAAAACAAGATCTGAGACATAGTGAAGCGTTGTGCACGGAAGAGGAGAGATAACAAGGGACAGGCCAAGAGCACAAACACTACTTGTCTGCTCACATGATCTACCACACGGCATTGCGACTTGTGAAACAAGTGGTTTTTCGTGCTAATCACATCGCAGGAAAGATGGTGGTTTCATTATGTTGAAGCACTCAGTGGTTCCTTATCAGTTTCGCAATTTTTCTACGCAATGCATTGTAAAAACATGAAAATCAGGGTTTTTTACATGCAGCATCAAAATATTCATCCATTTTGGGGTGACTAGATTCAAAATATTTCATCATTTAATATGTCCATTAGCAGGTATGTGATGCTGCAGATGGTGTCTTTGCAAAGATTTAACCATAACCCATGGCCAACAAAGAATGAAAGCATTAGGTTAATGAATAGTTTAAGGTGTTACGAATAAAATCCTTATATTTTCCTTCCATTTCCCTTCTGTGATTTATTATTATTTGCGTCTTCTCTCCCAGGTGGTCTTTCGGTGTTCTCCTCTGGGAAATTGTAAGCTTAGGTAAGTAAGCACTCTGGCTTTCACCAGTCCCACCCATGAACTACTACTAAGTACAGTACCAAGTGCAGAAGTTCAGGAACTGTTGTGATCATATCTACAATGACTTGCATGTGTTCATGATAAAGCATGAGGGTGATGTGAGTTTTATCACTGCTTGACTCACCATCACCATCATAATCATAAATGCATTTTCTCCCCTGTGTTGGTCAGGTGGCACACCATATTGTGGCATGACATGCGCTGAACTTTATGAAAAACTGCCACAAGGCTTCAGGATGGAGAAACCCAAAAATTGTGATGATGAGGTGTAAGTATTCATCATTTTGTAGTGAATGATCAGTTTATTCTGTCTTTCTTTCCTGCGTTTCACCATATTCATCTTTGTTTCTCTTCCTGTTCAGGTATGAGCTGATGAAGCAGTGCTGGAGGGACCGGCCCTACGAGAGACCCCCCTTCTCCCAAATCTCTGTCCAGCTCAACAGGATGCAGGAGGCCAGGAAGGTAATGCTGCATTCTGACAATGTTGGCAAAAAGGGAAGAATAGGAACATGTCCTGTTGTGTTTAAACATTACTGGTTACCCTATTGCTAAAACCATATTCATATCAGATAATTAACAACATAGTTTAAAACAGTTTTGTTCATCAGGTTACATGGAGGGTGTTACCATTGGAATTAATTTGCACTGAACTACTATTGTAGGGTTACAGCCATTTGGCATCAGTTTGTTGACACTTCTGTATACCTTCTCATCAAGTGTGGGACATCAAAGCTATCAGAAATTCCCTTCCCCCCCATTCTCTTACACAATTACAGCTATGATATCACATGGATGGTTTTTCCCATTCTGCACCTCATTTACAATCTGTAAAATATGACATGAATGTGTTTGAAGGCTTCAGCATTAAGAAACTGATGGAGCTGTCATACTTCTAACATGCATGCTAAATACCTGGAAATTTTGATTATTAAAAAAAAATCTTAAATCACAAGCTATCCATCTTCCAGGCTTATGTGAACATGGCTCTTTTTGAGAACTTCACCTATGCTGGGATAGACGCCACAGCCGAGGAGGCCTGACTACCAGCCCCCCCAGGCCCTAGCATGCCACGTAGCACCAAGAGAAAGTCCCGAGGATGGTCGCCGCGTTACTGCCACCTCCCTGCAGCTCAACGTCAGGACAGGAGGACCAGGCGCTCTACCAAAGCCACGCAGCTATAGATGGAGGACTGTGAAAGGACACTGTGTGGAGGTATCAGAGGCAATAGGAGATGAGGAGTATCGCTGGGCTTTGGACGGAGTGATGCCGTTGTTACTAATCTTTTGGGAAATACTTACCCCCTGTCACTACAAACCAGTACCAGAAAAAGACACAACATTGTACCTTTTGCCATTACAAGAGTTACAATGTTGTACCCTTTTTTTCTGAGTGTTGAGGGGAAGCGGCAAAAAATGCGCTATGTGACTTGCTGAAACACCACAGGGTCTGTGGGGTGTCAACGCTGGACTTTTTTATTTTCTCTCTGTCTCTAAATGGAGATGGAAATCTTTTCGTGAAGATGAAATTAACAGGACACAGTGTGGATCACAAACATTCAATTCTCAGACTGTTAAGAAAGGACGAAAGACGCATACAATGTAGCACTTAAAACCAGCCTCATTCATCCATCTGTGTCTTTTACTGTTTGCCTATCACTGCCACGTGAATGTAACTACTGTATGTATTGTATTGTCTCTTGGGATGCATAGATGTATCAAAGCCTCTTAGTCGAATGTAGTCAGTAAGAGACTGATATAAATGAAACCATGGTTGATGCTTTATGTGTTGCATTCAAAACTCCACCACAATAGTAGTTGTTTGGAAAATGCTACTAATATAGGGCCAATGCACAGCCAGTCTACCAGCTATCACTGTTCTAGTTTACCTTTAACACTATGCAATCTAACACAATGTAATATATCCATCGTATGCGAATGTACAGTGTGTTTTCATTAACTGGTTCCTTGAATAAAGGTTTTGCGTGGTGACTGGACTCATCACCACAAGTAAAAAAAAAAATCCAGTCCAGTCTCGAGTTACAAACTGCCGTTTCAGTCACACTGATGGTGTTAATTTTAGCAAAGATTTTGCTGTGTTTTTTGTTGTTGTTTCCTTTGCCTGCTTAATAGTGAGCATGGTGGGAAACCGCAGGCCTAGCTACTGGGGGCCATAGTATAGAGTTCAGGAACACTGATCTCCCCAGCTGCACATAGCTGATCTGTCACTGTGTTTCCTCCACAAACCAACCGCAGGCACATAACTGTCTGTCAAACATGGTCTCAGTGGGCTAGCTTCCTGACGACTCCCACACACTGACACCAGCTATACAACAATGCAGATGTTTAATAAGGGAACACTAAAATGTATTTTTATCCCCTGTCTGAAAATCTTTTGAGCATCAGTCGCCCTTTAGGCACCACTGTAACCCTATCTATGACTCCCTAATGCGGTCACACAATAATAATAATAATAATACATTTTATTTAAAGGCGCCTCTCTGGGCACTCGAGGACACCGTACAACACAAAAAATAATAACAGTAAGAAACAAGAAACAGATAAGAAAAGACAATGTAGACAGA